CATCAAAAACGACCAATCCCAGACCGCGGCCGCCTGTTGCGCCCTCGATGCGACTTACCGATGGTGTCTAAGCGGCACCCCGGTCATGAACAACCTGCGGGAGCTGTATTCGCTGCTGAAGTTCCTCCGAGTCCAACCATATGCCAGCCGCCAAAGTTTTGCCACGGTGGGTCGTGCCGAAGATCGGGCCCTTAGGTCCGGTTTGTCTGGCTGAATCTCTGTATCGCTCCACCACGCTTCGGACGAGCTAACCGTCCAAACCAGGCCTTTCAACAGCCATTGCAGACTCGCGGGAGTCCCCAACGAGCGGCAGCCACCGCTCGGCTCCGAAGGTTGATGGACACGATCATGCTGCGGCGGACCAAGACGTCCACCATCCAGGGTCAGCCCATCCTGCAACTGCCCGTCAGAACCACGGAGATCGTGTATGTGACCTTTACCGAGCCGGAGCGCGAGCTGTATACCGCCCTGGAATGCCACACGCGGCTGCAGTTTAACCACTATTTGAGCGGCGGCAACCCTAGTCGCAACGTGTCCCGTATGCTGGGTCTGCTGCAGCGCCTGCGGCAAGCCTGCTGCCATCCCTTCCTGGTCTCCGATTTCATCTCGGACACCCGGGATGCGTCGGGGAATGACGGGCACCGGGCGGCAAACGCCATGCGATTCTCTCCGGCGGTGGTCCAACGGCTGCGGGACAATGAAAGAGAGAACGGACGCGAGTTTGAATGTCCGATCTGCTACGACACCGTCGACAACCACATCATTTTCTTTCCTTGCGGTCATAGTGTCTGCGTGAAATGCTTTGCCCGGATCTTCCCCCAGGTTCCGACGGCCCGCCCCAGGGTCGAAGGAAACCCGCCGATGTGTTGTCCAAGCTGCCGGGTGGTCATTGACCCAAGCAAGGCGACCGACCACACGGCATTTGCCAAACAGCACTACCCCACGCCGCCGGGCGATGTCGGCACGGAGAGCCTGTCCACGGTCCTTGAGAACCTCCGGGGCCGGGTCGAGGATGACTGCGACGACGGCCAGGACCTCATGCTCGGAATACCGGCAGGAGCCGACCACGCTTATCCTCCCGTGCAGTTCCATATGAACCCGACGCCGACCATCCATGCGCCCAAGCGAAGCTTCACGCGGCTGAGACAGCGAGCGCTAACCAGCCCCGCGGCGAAGCAGAAGTATCACCAAATTTTGGCGGAGACCTGGATCAGTAGCTCCAAGATCGATAGGGCGTTGGAGATCGTGCGCGACATTGTAGCCCGCGGGGAACCCGGTGGGGAGCGCGAGAAGGTCGTCATCTTCAGCCAGTTCACTTCCATGCTCGATCTGATCGAGGTCCCCCTCGGCCGACATGGCTGGGCGTTCCGGCGCTACGACGGCACCATGAAGCCGGCCGACCGGCACGCGGCGACCGTCCACTTCGCGACCGACCCCGACTGTCTGATTCTCCTGGTCTCCATGAAGGCCGGCAACTCAGGGCTGAACCTCACGGCCGCCTCGCAAGTGATCATCCTGGACCCGTTCTGGAACCCGTACATCGAGGACCAAGCGGTGGGGCGCGTCCATCGCATCGGACAGCGACGGCCGGTGCACGTTCACCGCATCCTGGTTTCCAACACGGTGGAGGATCGGATCCTCGACTTCCAGGACAGAAAGCGCCAACTCATTGAGGGCATCATCGACGAGAGAACCCACGGGGAGCCTAGCCGGCTGGAGAGCACTGATTTCGCGTATCTCTTTGTAAGTAGCGGAGACCTCTTTGTCTCTTCAAGGGGGGGGGAGAAAGATTGCTAAGCTAATTTTGGGGTATGCATCACTTAGGGTTTGCCATGATCAACAGGATGACAATTCTATTCAGATAAATGGCCAGACACAACCAGGTCCAAAGTCACGAGTAGACGGACTTAAAAGCCGGCACCATCAAGCGCCGTTCCGTGCCGGCTCCAATCAAACAGACCAAACAAGCTTGGCGGTCAGCAGTGCGCTGGGAAGTGCAAAAAAGATATCCTTACACCACGTCACGGGCCTCCTCGTTCATTATTTGTAATGGGGTCCCTGCGGTTTAATGGAGATAACTTCCGGAATAATGCCGGGTGGTTGCTGGAGCGGATTTTCCCTGGGCAGCACGCAACAGCCACACAAAAGCCCAAGTTACAACTGGGACGGTTCAGAAATTGGAACTTCTGGAGGCCTACATGTGCAAGTAGTGAGGTAGGATAACCGTGTCTTCTTCAGCAATCTCTCCTACTCTCTGGTTGCTCTTCCTCAACGATAATTACTGTCTTAGTAATAAATTCGAAGCTTGGCAACCTCCTATATAACAGCCCCTTAAATAAAAATCCAATAGCAGCCTGGGACCACCTTTATTGGTCTGGCTAGCTTCCACACTAGGCAATTCATTGTAAATATATAGTGCTTTACTGCGTTCTGATGTCCTTCTTTTCTGCTTCGCCCCAATGGCTCGCTATGTGTTAAGTCATTAACATTACTTTTAGCTGTATCTTAGGCATTATTATTGAGGGGTCTAGAAGTTTGTTTATCGCTAGACAATTCTATTAAAAGAATTTGAAGTATCTCTTGTTATTGTGATGTCTAAGCTATAAAAAGTGCTAGTTTATAGGGAATACAGGTAGCTGCTGGACTGGTAGTTGTGGTCACTCACCCAAAGCTTACGTTAGCTCACAAGCAATGCTTAATAAGCGGCCCAAGGGGTAACAACAGGTTATTTATTAGACTCAAGCCCAACATTGATACCCCTGACATTGTCGTCTTTTGCATGTCAGGCACATCGTTGTTATGCTCACTATTTCTTGCCCTTTCAATTGAGAACCCAGCCTATCTTCTGGCTCTAAATGTGGAACCTACTTAGGGGCACTAGGTCACTTCTATTCCCGCATGGCCAGTCGGCCACAGCAGTACCCGATGAGGTGAGACAAGACCAGAAACGACGCGCCTTAATTGGGCTTTTACTAAGAATTTTAGGAGGAATTATTGTCGCTAGATCTTGAAGAAAATGACTTCCTGTATCGTATAAGAAGAAATTCTCGGATCGTATATGTTTCCGTGCTTGATGGAAACATTCTCCCGCCTGATTGCAGGACAGATAGCTACCGGGTCCTTTCGAAGCTACGAAAAATACCGAGGTGGGAGGAGGACTGGGAAACACTTACCATTCGAAGAAGTTCTCAGGGCATTGAGAGCAGTCCAAACGAATTTTTGCCCCACGGACTAGACGTCGAACAGGTTAATATCCCCGGCGCCATTTTTGTCAACCTTCTAGATTTGACAACGGTTTCTCGGATCAGCGATCGTATCTCTTGTGTAAAACTCGGTACGGAGTCGTGGATACTAAAGGTTGCACGATTTAAACATGAAATTCCGGCCTTGCAGCAAGAAGTTTCAGTATATGCTAGTCTGACATTGTCTGGCTTCCCACATGCACCGAAATTCATTGGCTTTGTCTACGAGGGAACAGAGGCTCGCATAGTTGGCATATTAATGGAGTCAATTACGGGTAAAACCCCAGAGATTCAGAATCTCAGAGATTGCACGGAAGCTGTCCGCCGCTTGCATGCAGAAGGAATCGTTCATGGGGACCTCAATAAGTACAACTTCTTGATAACAAAAGACGGTGCAAAGGTTTTTGACTTTGAAAACTCCATTGTTCAAGAAACGGTGGACCCGGAAACAGCTGAGAGTGAGATGGAAACCCTTGCAATCAAATTGAAAGACGAATCCGGCATCGGCAAGCGTTAAGTTCCTGGTCTGGTTACTCATAGCGCGCTTCTATGGGTAATAGAGACCTACTCGTCGGGCCTTTCAAGCGCTCTGCAGACATGACCGGCATCTATGGGTTGAAACTTTGACTTCTTTATACTGTAACTGTGTGCTCGAGCACCTCAACCCCTCATTGTTCGCATGCTTCTCACATTTCACAAATTGGCCATCCTTCGAATGCCCGCAGGCATAGCGTACTTGCTCCTGAGTGCAAACATGATATGGCATTGTATAGTTTCTATGACACGGTCAATATTGATACAATAGCAGCGGAGGGTGCCTTACCTAAAGTGAGTACCTTGATTTGGTTGACTAGACGGGAAATGTAGTACAGCTGCAAATGCCAAGGAGTTGCTAATATATATGTATTTTCATGGGCCTTAGGGTCCAGTATTTATATCTCGTGTTGACATTCTACGACAGTTATGACACAGTAAATAACGCACCATCAATTTGGTGGGGAAGACTCCTGGAGGGGATTTTCTATCCAGCGCCAAAACAACTTCCTTTCATTCGCTGTCACCCCTTACAAACGTGTAGAAATGTCACACGGACGCTCATTCGTAACTTATCAGTCCAATGCATCGCGCCGATGGGCGCTAACGCGGAGACCTGTAGGATTTGGAGTAACTTCCTTAGGCACAACGAGACTGGGATGTTGCGAGTGAGATGGCGTCAAACAGCAAGGAAAGGAGACAAGGCTTGATCTTCTGCACCTGGCCTTGTCTGTTGGCGAACTTACATGACACATAGCTCTGGCCTCCTTCCAGCAAACAGGAATGACACCTCGCGCAGAGACAGATGCCCCTGTAGATACACACTATACGAGTAAGCCGGTATTAACAGACAGAAATCTATACAAGAAAAAAAGGCTCCGCAGTCAATCTATTACCACAATAAAATCACGAATGCAAAGCGACACAGACCCTCGTCCAAGTTCAAAATGGGGTGCAGCTGGGCTCTGGCATTGGCCAATCACCACATGAATCATGCCGCCCGGACCTTCTATTGCGTTAATTGGTCCGCTGGCCATTGATACTGGGACTTTGGTCGTTTCGGTGCTACCAAATCGAAGCCTTATGTTCCTTTCCTGTGTTTCATAATGCCTGCTAGCACATGGTCATAGCCATCTCGCCCAGTCATTCCCACTGTTTCTCGCCTATTTTTATCGTCCACTGGCCTGCACCTTAGAATGCCGAGAAAAAGCGGAAAGTTGCTGGCTCCCCAATCTGCTTGGAGTACAGCAGTTGTAAGAGAGGGGAAGTGTTGTCCATGGAGGTCCGTCAAACTCAATCCTGCATAAGTTCATCGGGGCATCTCATCCTCTCATCCCCGGTATAGGCATGCTTGGTCTCCGCGAGCATGTCCTATCTCAGCAACTGAGCGCAATCTTGTCCCGTTCAGTGTCAAAGCAATCAACCATACAAACCTTAGATTGTCGGGCCGTAAGGGATTTTACACAGGTTATGCTCTGGGCTAAGAAGCAACGAAGAGTTCACTTGTATCCATTAAAAGATGTGAGGAATAATAGTAACTCCCAGCCGCCGTCCTTTGATTGGGCATTGAGCTTTTCTACTAGTCGCCTCGATAACTCGTATAGGTAGAAAAGCACTAACCGCTGACACACCATGAGCCCATACCCGAATTAGTGTAGAGGTATGTGGAGTCTGCCCTCCTTCAACATGTGCTTGACAATATCAATGAATCTACACTACGTGCTACTATTTCAACTGATCTCCAACAGTGTGCTGAGAGCAACGACCACATTCGACTAATACTGCTGTGACGCCCGAGATTATAGGACAAGACAGAAGGGAACAAGCGAAAAAAAAAAGATTGGAATAGTAACGAGGAGCAAGGTGCTGTAATTTACAAACACATCTTTAAATTGATTTCACCTGCTCCTGCCTACATCCTCTGTCGCTTAGCTCTGTCCTGCGTGCCATCCGAATTGTCGGTCACAACCAACTGGGGGAGATTCGTCGTCAGCGCGCACTTGGTTGAAAATTCTCCAATAATCCGGGAGACCGTGGCGGCAATATGTTGTGCGCCATCCGCGAGAACGCTGTCACCATGCCGAGGAGTAGAATCCGCTGGAGGACTAGCATCGCCTACATCCGCCGACCTGGCTGCCGCTATGCCATCCGCGGCTGGAACACCAGAGACGCCGGTTTCGTTCTCCGCACATTCCAGCAGCTCGTCCGAGGCCGACACCATTCGCAGGTCGGAAAGCGTGTCATCGATCCACTGTGGGTCGGTGCGGCCCGGGGCGGCGAGGAGGAGAACCGATCGCTCGCCACGCTGCCCCGGATCCGGCAGAGAGACCGGCCGCAGCGCCACCGCATACCCTTGCTTGAGGAGAAGACCCATGGTGCGAGCCAGCGAGCCCCACGACTGGTCTGTCAAGATCGACCGGGACATCGTCAGCACGATGAAGTCCGGACTCAGCCCTGGAGACTGCGCCGCGAGCTCACACTGTTGGAGCGGACTCAGTGTCTCCCCGGAGAGACTGTTGATGCCATCAAAGCCCGAGGAGCTAGGGTCGAGCCACCCGGCGGCTGATTTAGCGAAAGACCCCTCGCCACTAATGGTCACAATGCGGGGTACATCGCGCCCTCTGTCATCCGGTTGCGTGGACAGGTCGT